TTCTGCGCTGCATATTCTCTTCTATGATTACATCTCACCCCTTCAAAGGCAAAATCTTGACTTCCAGATTTAAAGGACCAGAACACTGAACTGTGTCACTGTGAGATACAAAGGATCCATGCAGAATACTAGTCTCTTAAGATGAAGATATTTGCAAGCATGGAAGAAGGAAAAGGCAGTAAGTAATGAGAAGTAAAAATTCCCAACAGACTGACTTTTCGTTTGATTACACGTTCCCCATCAAGTCCAGGCTGCCAGATTCCACAAACAATATCAATTATGTTACTACTGATCTGCAATGGTGCAAGCAACCAGGAATCAGCTCCTTGCATCACTATGTTTCTGAAAGCTGAGACAAAGGTTGAGAAATCACTTTCTTCTACATGGTGGTTAAGTCATCACTGGAAAGTTATTCTCCTGCAACTGTTTTTCCTAGCAACCTTTCTAGAAGCTTTTATTAAAATAGTTTTTACTGAAGCGATCACCTGGGTAAAAACATGTAGAAGAGTATCTGTTTATCAACCACAATTTTCACACTTCTCCCAGTTTCCAGTGAAAAACAAGCTCGCATTTCCTTCACACCCACACCCGAAACTCTGCTTAGCAGGTTTTATATTCCACTTTTCAGATTAGCCAGATTCTGTCTACAGCTTGCATCCTTCACTACAGATGCACAGGAAAGGTATAGTGATGCAGCTGCTATGTATTCAAATTGCATTGTCACTTTAGATCAGTAGCTCTACTTCATCTGTTGGAGGAAGAATAATCAATTTTCTCCTTTCTAGAAAAGGGAGCTTTTTCAGCAATGACAACAAAAAAGATTAAGTCTTGGGACCGTGGAAAATCAGTCCAGGCTTTTGCTTTTGTATGGCTTATTCTTTCCTTAGTCTATACTGTTTGCCTTTTCTTGTCTAACCTCTGAATAAGCTTAGTCATCCACTATACACACAAGAGTGTCTTATGATATGAAAGCATTGAAAACAAGACATCAGGGCCAAGCTCTGAAATGAGCAAGCAGTCTCTCCTGCACAGGATACCAAGCATAAAACAATGCAAATAACTATCTGCTGCTGTGCCTTGAGAACATCTGTAAAATCTCAATAGAGGGGTTTTTCATTCTCTTAAACAGAATGAAAGCATCTTTTTACCATGGACATCTGCCATTAGTAGTAGGCTGGTCATCCTGGAAACGAGTCATGCAAGAGTCACAGCACAAAAAAAAAAAGCACGTTGCCTGTAGACACTTTCAAAGGGGCATTAATGATACACAAGGGCAAACCTACTGCTCTGCACAAGGCTACAGATAACTTTTTCCAGTCTAAGATCCAGCAGTTTTAGTTGGACTGGCATTCAGTGTCCTGCTTCAAGTTCTGTTTCAGCCTCAGAAGCAAGTCTGAGCAGCTCTTGGCAATTTTGGGAAAGTCAGGAACAGCACTGTGAGGACAAGCATCCTTGTCCAATGAACAAGGCAAGTGTTTTAGAACGAGACTTCTATTATAAGCACCTATATGAAAATCTGTACTTTATGACAGTACTCAAAACCAGCATTCCTGTTCAGAAGGTGAAAAACATACCTAAGCACAGGGGCCTGCTAACTTCAGTCCTGCTATTCTGAACGATGGGGTGAGAACGTGGCTGGGCGTATTAAACCTGGGAGATTTATGTAACCACTAACGATCCACTCTGACAGACTGACAAAAATCAATTCTGAAAATATTCCCCTGGAAAAAAAAAAACAGGATTTTTTTTCTGTTATAAAAAGTAACAGCTGATCCTCCCCTAAGGAAACCACGATAGCCTCCTACAGGTTATAAATGATGTAATTCAGACTGCGTGTGGGAAGCTGAAAACATTTGTCTTTTAGCACAAGGTGTCTATTTTAAAGCTGTCACTGCAATATTATCTGTAACCTTAATTAGCTGAGAAAGTTCTTCACCAGTTAACTGCTACATTTACATGCAGTCTACACCCCCTTACCACCCATGTCCTCCATGTCAGCTTTCAGATATGCCAGCGACAATGCACACAACCTCGCACGAGGCAAAGCTCCCCTGTTGACTGCGCCAGCAGCACAAAGGCCAAATGCTACAGGTTGTACTTGCTCAATCAGCTGAGCTACCTGTGAAAGTTATTCACACAAGCTACTTAAGATTGTCATCTACACGAGTTTTTGGTTGTACTTGCACTTCAGCTGTTACTACAAACTGTATGTTTTGTTAAAAAGGGATAGTTTCGACTTCATACTCAGATTATTTAACCTGTAGTGTATGAAGCCATAAAACAATACGACAGAGTCATGCTGGTAGAACAACATTAGCCGTAGCACTACCTATTTATATCTTCAGGGAGTGCCTTACAGAAGTACAAGCAGGAAAACAAAAAACTTTGTACAATACTGGGACAACGTGGCAAAAGTACAGTTCCGATACAGAGAACTTTGCAGTCAGAAGCCTCTAAAATTACCTTCTTTACTGCCTTTGGAGAAATTGCACAGTATTACCTTAAAAATAAGTAGTCCCAACTTTCATTGCAAGTCGATGACAGAAGCCAAACTTCCATATACAGATTAAGAGTTTATACCAAAACAGAGGCATTTTATTTTTAAAAGGGCTGTCACACAAATAGATAGAGCTTTTTATGCTTTGAGGACTGAGCCCAGGGAGACCTACTGTCTGATGCACCTGAACTGGAATACACAGCCCAGGACCCTGTGCTTGTAGAAAACCACAATGACTTCTTGTTCTACAGATCTGAATATTACCATTTCGCTTGTTATGAGCCTCTGACTTCCTGATAAGGCAGTTTATGTACCAAAGTAGCAGCTAAATAGGTGTTTGTATTGCACTAAAAGCCTTTTCACATAGCATACTATATCACGTTGCAGAAGTAAAAGCTACGATTACATTTAAAGCCTTTATTTTTGGTTTAGACAACACAAATATTTAATGGCTCTATGAGAAATTCCTCTCAGTATGATTTTGTTAGGTAACAATGACAGTTTCAAGGCATTTTCCTCTGCACCCTAAAAATGAGAAGCGACTGACACTTTTGACAAACAAGAAGCATTTATTATACTATGCACTTTGAATGCCTCTGCCTATTTTAGGCAGAAGGGCAGCCCGCAGACACATTGCCTGTTCTCAGATTTCCTTTCAACCACATCACTGAACTATCTTTCAACTTCTCACTGAAAAACACTGCAACTGAGGAGGCTTTTAGTCGAGAGACTGAAACAAAACAACACAAGAAGGGACAAAGCAATGGCATGCAGAGCACTTACCAGTATCTTTTTGTCCTTTCAGTATTTCTACAGAGAAGAAAAAACCCCACCCCTTCAATCTTGTTTAAAACCAGCCGAAATCCACTAACTCCTTTAAACCCCCAGCAACTGCCAGACTGAGTGCCTCTGCTCTATGTGCTTTTACTTAAGCCGTGGGTAGTGCCTTCTGACTAAAGAGGGGCTGGCTCTGCCTTGCGTAAGCTAGGTAAACAGCACCGCGCCACGCACCATTGGCTGGAGTCAGAGCCTGCATCCTGCTTGCTGCTCCATAAATTCATGCATCTCTGGCCCCAAAAAGGGAAAAAGGAAGCAGAGGGAGTGTTGAGAATGATCCTGCAGCCCAATTCCCCAGCAGTTCTGTTGATGAGGTTCTTGGAGAAACACTGATCTATTTCCTTCTCTGCTTCTCTTACATAACTGTACCCATGCATGCTATACCTTCTTCTTTCTTCCTTTATTTTTAATCATCATTTATTAGCCCAGCTAGCTTTCCTCACCTCCCACACACTAAGTGTTTTCTTAATACAGTGAGAATTAAACCAGCAGAAACTCTTCAGGCATTGCTATCCCTGTTTCCACCAATGCTATAGAACTGGACACATGACACCTGCAGACACCACAGGTGTGTACTGGACTCCCATGGCCAACGATGCTTTAACAGCTCATTCCTGTAAGATGCGCATTTAGAAAGGCAAATCTGCACGTGCCAGACTAGGTTCTGAGCTCATTTCTTACTCCACTAACACTCAAATCGCTGCATCAAGCCAGTGGGTGGGATAATTTAAATGTCTGAGCCATAAAATGGTGATCAAGTCATCACAACTTCCAAGTTACCGCCTCCTAGAATTGATCATGCAAATACTCCAAGGCTGCTGCAAGCATGTAGCTTAATCATTATATCCAATTTTACACCACAGTTGTAGTGGGTCAAGAAGGTGTGCATGATACCCTGGCTCAGGCGATGTATACGCAGGCTGACATTTGACATCTCCAAGTTCTACAGGTGACATTGCTTCAGCTTCTGCTGCTCCTTCCTTGGCTTGTCACTGCAATTTTGCAAGCACAACTTTATGGACTGGTTTCCCTCATCTGTCCATGTTTTTAAAAGCCAGTTTACCTGTTTGGTTGTTTTTCAGCTGGATCTGTTTCCCAGTTCAGCTCACGGCACGGCCGTGCAGTCATACCAGCAGAACCAAAGGTGGGAAGGGCAGGCACATCACTGGGCAGCACTCAAAGCTCAGCACTGTTGAACAAGCTTTTTGTTCATAATACTGTAATGCAGCATACTGTGTGGCAGCTCCACATAAGTCAGCTTCACTGTGAGAAAAAGGTGAATGCATACCTGTTTTCTGTCTCCCCAACACATACTCCACAACCAGCCTTCCACTAAATAGTATCTTAAGGCTACCCTGTTACAGGATCTTGTCACCTACCTGAAAAACTTAACCACAGAACACCTTGCCACAGAACGTTTTTGGTAATAAAACTATACATATGCTTAAAGACAATTCTTTTTTTCTCCTATCATAGATTACTAAACAATGACAATCTACAGAAGTGATTGAGCCACAGTTGCTGAACACAGGGAAGTGCTTGGAGATACATCGACGTACAGATGCTCCCTTCTTCCCACTCTTCTTCTGGCCACCAAAGAAAACATGCTATGATTACTGATCTGAGATGGTATGGTCATTATCACAGCTATCAGATTACTAAGCTAGTAAAGGGCATAGGGGAAAAACCAAAGCACCACACAAATCCCAACTATTTGAACCCAAATAATTTTGCTTATCTCTGTTTGTGGGTTTATTCTGTAAACCCTCTATACCAATGCATGCAAGGGGGTAGGAACCTTCTGAATCAATCTCATCAGCAAAGCCAGAGACTCATCAAGCCACAAGCCACATCTTGATATTAAAGTTGGGCCCTCCTCACTGCCAAAAATCAACAGCCTCACACTACTGGCACATGAACCTAGCTCTTCCGCTGCTAACTTCCAGAACCTTAAAATGGCAGTTTTTACTGGGGTGAAAGAGACACCCACCTCCTCCATCACCTTCAAGTAATTTATACTTTGCCCTCACCTATACAAGGTTGGCAGCTTTAAAAGAAAAGGAAAACCACATCAGGACTGTACTAGTATCACTTTACACACAGATATGGCAACAAGAGTACAAAAGGCACTCTATTCAGGTATTTAACTGTAGTGATAAGTTACATTGGCACAACCACTTCTGGGTTGCGTTACTTTTCTCATACAAACCATAACACTTGAGTTGTACCGTTTCAAAAGTGTTCATTCTGAAAAGCAGAACTTAAGACTAACTTGCTTCTAGAGCTCCTTTATCTTCTCACTTTACAGATGCCTCTCTTCAGAGCCCAGGTTAGGAAGCTTGTGGATTACTTTGTGCTGCAGCCACATTAAGAAGCTACAGAGCTAGCAACTGCAGGTGGATATGCCTTCTACTGCCCAACCTAGCCTCCCACAGATAAAAATCCTTATCTCTACATCCCACCTGCTTTCATATTAGTGACCCACAGTATTCTGGAGCGCAGTCTTCTGCTATCAGACAAATACAGCATGTAATGCCCTTTTCATCACTAACTGTGCCCCATCTTAAAGGAGCTTCTTTGAGGGTTTAGTTTGCCGCTAGTCACACTGCTACGTGGCTGCCTCTGAACCTCACTCTACAGAGCTTGAACCACTTTGTTTCCCTGCCCATGTTTACTCACAGCCATGCTCTACTCATCTGTTCTTGTGTCAACGTTGTCCCTCACTTTTATTAAGAGGAGGGTTTAATGATTTCCACTCCACACAAGAGTGCTCTGCCTTGAGGACTGGAAGCAAACACCTCAAGCATGCTGTCGCTAGGCAAGTTATCTGATCTCTCCTGGAGCAGAGATGCTGCCGACCACGCCAGACTAAAACAATGAAATGTGTAGCACTCCTAATTTCATGAAGTGATGCTTAACTGCAGGGGAGGTTCTTTCCTTGAAGTAGTTATAGAAATAAAGGGCTGTATCGTCATGTTCTTCTATCTGACTCATGAGCAGATGCTGTACAGTTTGATATAATTACGTGATTTCACATGACATTCAAAATGAGCTTTGCAGAGGAACACACTTCAGAAGTAGTATCAGTTAAAAAGACAGTCTTGCAGATACAGGCAAAGGGCAATGCTATGTCCTCTAGCATGCAGACAGACAAGAAGCCTGAATGGCATGTTCTTCATCCTAGAGTTAACCTCACCAGTATATTACTGCTAAACTTCAAGACAGACATTTTAAACACATCTGTTGATAATTTTATTTAAAAAAATAGGCAGGGAGTGGAGTAAAAACCCCACAAAGGGCAAGTGCTGGAAACTGCTGCACACAGGGTACAGAGGAAACACTGAGAAAGAGCAAAAACATGGAAGACTAGGATCTGTAGTGGTCCCAAGGGGGAAGAGTATATTTGTAAACTCAATACTGAAGGCTCAATATGCACTATACACCACCTTAAATGTTTCCCACAAATTCAATGGCTGAACTCTGATCAAAAACAACAATACCCAAAAAGACAAATATTTCATGTGTTGCAAAGCATTAACACTGTTAGGGGGTTCCCGAAAGTCTAACCCCACGTGTACAGGGGAAGAAGAAAGGAGGGAAGGTCACTGACCTGCCAGCCCCATTAATCTTTCATTGTGTTATGTCACACGTAATCTCTGTGCAAGAAGTTCCCATGTTATACAGTTAATAAAGTCATACTACAGTGTTTTAAAGAGATTATGGGGGGGGTGGGAGTTGCCTGAAGCCAAGAACATGCTAATTAAGAGTACACAATGGAAATGTTAATCAAATAATCTGCAGGAAGAGGAGGAGGGAAGGAAATTACCTAATCCCCTGCACTACTGTGTGGTGCTTTGTGGCAAGAAGTAAGAAAATTCTTGCAAGAGCCAAGCAAACAAAACGTCCATTGTTATAGCTACAGCTTTCAGAGAACAACACTTTTCTGCATCTCAAGTTTCTGTAACATGAAGGGTGAAAGGTACTTTACGAACTGTTCCACACTGACCACTTCTGGAAGGGGTAGGAGAGGCTAATTAGGTTTGCAGTACAGCTGAGTAAAAGATCTAAGTAGAATCTCAAGTTCTTAAGGCACAGCAAATTCTCCTTCAAAGGGATTTGCCAACTCTAAAACGTCTGTCATCCAACAACCATGGTGATCCTCAGGCAACTGTGGAGCAATTCGTCGCCAAAGCTGCTGTAGCCTAGTTACAGAGAGGCAACAAATCATCACTCTGCAGAGAGGCATTTCCCGTGACACGAGTCATACTTTGCCATCAGACAAACCTAATGAGAATTTCTTAAGAAGTCCTATTTCATCCTTACATCTTTGTGTGCCTGCTCCTCAGCCACACCAGGGAAGGCCTTCTTCTACTCAAGGACAGCATGTTACCATCAATGCATATCCCATCCTGCAGACTGAAAAAAATAATTGGCCCTCTGTCTTCAGTTTTGATCTCTGCTTTAGTAGGCACACATGGCTTTTAGCACTGTACCAACTCAGTATTTTCAACTTCCTAGGGGAGGGAGCCCATCAAGAGAAGTGCACGGAAGATTTCTGATCCTTGGACTGAGAACATACTTAATAATTAACCTTACTAGAAGCTGAAGGAATCTCAGGCAGGAATAAATAAATACCTACAGGATAGCAGGACTACTGACTCTCATGTGCTTATGCGTTTCCAAGAGGCTGAGTTAATTCCTTTCCTCATAAGGGACTTGACCGAATCACAGGATAATTCAGCAGGTCATTTAGTCCAACCTCCTGCTCAAAGCAGGAGCTGGCTTCCCAGGTATTGAGCTATTACTGCAAGAGACTGGGAGCTTTAAGGATGAAACAGCCTCTCAAGACACACATTCCCTCAGGAAATAGGAAAGGCGTACGGAATGCTGGAGAACTGTAGATGACAAGCAGTCTTGCAGACCAGTTTGGAGCTTCGTGTTTGTTCACAGCCTTCCTAGGAGTGTTTGATTCAACATTTGCTTAAAAGAAAACAATTGGCTCAAATTACTGCAGAGAGCTTGCTGTAGCCACACCAAAGATTGTTTGGGCTGATTAAACACTTGAAAGGGTAAGACCCACAGCATACCCTGTGTTTTAAAACAGCTTCACA